GGGGGCGGCCCGGCATCCCGGGGCGGGCGGCTGGCGGGGGAGTTGTGTTAGTGACCGGTGAAAACTCTGCTTGTTGTTCCCGAAGCGGCGTGGCCTCGGCGCCCGGGGATTTTTCCACCGCGTCGTCCTGCAGCCCGTCACGGTCTGTGATGACAACCATTTGCGACCTCCCCGAAGACGTGCTGGTGGAGCTGCTGTCGCTGCTCCCAGCCCAGGACCTGATCCGCACCTGCAGACTGGTCTGCACGCAGTGGCGGTACGTGGTGGATCTGACCACCCTATGGAAACGCAAGTGCCAGCGCGAGGGGTTTTATATTCAGAATTTGGACAGAAGCGTCTCTGACTGGAAGATCTTCTATATGCTCTGCAGCTTGAAGAGAAACTTAATCAAAAACCCTAGTGCCGAAGGTTTGTTTCATTATTTATAGTAGAAGGCTAAAAGACTTTCCCAACAGTCAGAATGAGTCAGAGTCTCGCATTACTCAAGCGCTGCTGGTGTTGTGGGACTGTCCAGCTACCGAGGGATCTCTGCCGGGTCAGATCCACAAGTAAATGTATGCACTAAAACTGCTGTGGATAGGTAAAGTATTGGTAAATACGTATTTGTGGTTGCGACCAGAAAAAAATCTCTGGAGTCGCTAAGGCCCCAGTACTGCAGTGATGGTTAATTTGCACGATATGGTAATGAAACTATCGGGTATTGGGATTAAACATTTGGGCAGCTGGGGAATTTTTGTTGTCAAAGACTTGACTAACGTGACTACAGTAATTCTACTTCTTTACTGATTACGAGTTTCTAATGTGGTCAGAAAGTTGCCACCTATTAGCCTAGCTGCTGACAGCCACATTAAAAGTAATGGCAACATAAAGACAGAAGTCACTTTCAGCTGTAGGAAAAACAGTGTATCTGAGAAACTCATCCAAGTAGGTTCCTAGTATTCTTCTGTCACTGATTCTTTAACAAAAGCAGAGACGCTGTTGGAAACTGAAGTGAGGTCCTAACGCTCATCTTTGATATCTATATTTTTAGAGAACTTTCAGCACTGGAAACTTGATAATAATGAGGGAGATAAATGGAAGATTGAGGATCTGCCTGGAACTCATGGAAAAGACATGCCAGACCCCAAAGTACACAAATACTTTGTCACTTCATATGGGTAAGAACTGGATTCCAGTAATCTGGAGCTGGGAGACCTGCTTCCTCCTGTCTGCAGAGGCACTACAGTTAGAAGGATTGAGGCGGATCACTGAACCTTTGCCCATGTGTGGGGAAAGGAAGGAGCTTAACTAACCTTTTATCCTACTGCTGAGAGAATTAATTGCAGCATGTGCTAAACTCCTCTGTCCCCACCAGGAATTTCCTGTAACTTTTTTATCGTCATGATAATCCACATGGGATCCCTACCAAAGGAAGGGATGGTAAGGTTAAGGTTAAGGTTTGGCAAGCTAATTAGATGCGCTCACCTGACAAGTTCAAAGCTCTGTAACTCTAAGAGTGGTAGGTGTGTTTGTCATGCTAACAGCTTGTAATAAAAGCTGTCAACAGAGGAGAATTATCTGCTTTTACATCCATTAAGCAGTAGTTTCCTCTTACCAATATATGCTATACAAGCGCAGGGACCTCTCTTAATCCAGGTTGTAGGTAACTATTCCTTTTTTCTAGGGGTGAAGCTAATCAGTTCACTTCCTTGCCTAGTTCTGGCTATGGAAAAAGACATGCCTTAGCCATGTCAGCCTTCTGGGCCTTCGAGGTCTGGGTGGGCTTTTGGTAAGAGTGAAGCTGTCAGGCAAAGTGTGGACATCGAGAGGGAAGAGATGTGTTTTGTGAAGTTGTGAGTATTTCTATTGCTGTTGCAGGCCATGCTTCAAGTCTCAACTCATTACCCTGCAGAAAGAGGGATACTGGAATCAGCTGATGGATGAGAAACGGCCTGAAATTGTAGTCAAGGACTGGTAAGCGTATGTACTGAAAACCACCAGACTTTCTGGCATTAACCTAGAGATAAGCTAGGCCTCTGAAGCTTTTCATGCTATAAAATTAGTTCTTTATCCTTTGGGAGTTGTAGCTCTTGAGTAAAGCATAAGCTAAATTTAAGTTTGTTCAATGGGCTGTAAAGAGGTGACAATCCTGTGAAGAGCAGGATAGCTGGAAATTTTAGAACTTCTTCATAGCTGTGGGGATGACATTCCTTTTCCTCTGCAGATGAGGATCTCCTTGGAGACTGTTTTTGAACACTAAAGAAAACAACACTGTATACACAACCCTGCTCCTTGATTACTCCCTGCCTCTCTAGGTATGCTGCCAGATTTGACTGTGGGTGTCGCTATGAACTTACGGTGAGGCTCCTTTCTGAAGACTACATTGTCCTTGAGGAGTTCCACCCTGAGCCAGTGGTTATAGAGCAGTGGAATGATGCAGCGTGGAGAGAGGTAAGCAGCAGCCCTGTGGGCAGTAGCTTTGCATCAGTATTGTTGACACTTGAATCTTGCAAGTCTTACTTGGCCAAAAGTCCCAAGTGGACCTTCTTTCTCTGCTCTTCAGCCTCCTCTACTCAATACAAAAGGTAAGTGAGTCCTTGCTGTTGACAATGCTGAAGAAGCAGTAGTGTCATGAAAGAGCTAGGTTTAGTTTGTAGGTGCCCAAGGTTTTCTAAAGAGTGTCCCCTGGGCTTCCCCGAACATGTTTAACTGATTTGATTGGCTGTAGATTCCCCATTACATTGTTGCTTACATGACAAACATACCTAAGAATCAAGCTTAATGTTATGTTTTACTTGGAGGGGATTTCAGGGCAGAAGGCTGAGTAAGAGAGGCTTTTTTCCCATCCCTCAGAAAAAGGGGTATGATGCACTTTCAGTGAAAGATATCTTAAAATGAGCTTTTCCTGAGACCAAGGCTTGCATATTGTAGTGGTCTGAGCTTCTAGGTCAATGCTGATTTATTTAGGCACATTAAGATGACTTTTATTCTTTCTCTCCAGATTTCTCACACCTTCCAGAATTACCCAGCTGGAGTTCGTTACATCTGGTTTCAGCATGGAGGCCAAGACACCCAATTCTGGGCAGGATGGTATGGGATCCGAGTGACAAACAGCAGCATCACCATTGGGCCCCTGACACTGTTATGAAGGCACAATATAAGAGTTTGCTTTTACCTCAGGACTGTAACCAGGTGGTCTCAGGTGCACTTATTTGTACTCTCCGGGCGAGTGTCCTGGCTTTGTCTTGCACAACTGATCTCAAATACAAGCAGCTAGTTCTCCTTGTTCACAGCAGAACTTCTGCAGGCCCAGCCCTTTGGAAGGACTTCTGTCTTCATCTTCCAGCCTCCTGTACCATGGATGTTACTGCAATTACTAGTGCCCTTCCACAGGAGGAAGACTAGGACAATTAAATATGACATCTGTCTCTTCTAGTTAATCTGTCCTTGTGCTACAGCCAAACACTGTCTTAAATAGAAACCCTTTCTTGGTTGTTTATGGAACTTACAAAAGATAAGGCTAAAATGTTTTATTTCAGATTATCAGTGCTGTCCTCAAGGGCTCTGCTACAGAGAGACTTGTTTTGTACGGTATTTTCCTCTTTCAGTTTAATTCTGTATCAAAACATGTATCTTTCACATCAGACCTTTCATAGCATAAGGAAACTGTCAACCCTTTTTCATAAATGCCGTGTCACTGGTACTTAATTCCTTACTGTTTCTGTAAGTGTATATGACCAAAATGCTACATGCCTTCCCTGTCCAAATACAGCCTGTCATTATTTGAATAAACAGGTAGAGCAGGAGGAGGTAAGAAATCCATTAAGGTGGCTACCTTACAACATAAGTGCCTTTTGATTGTGATGGGCTTTTTCCATATTACCTTTGTACTACCAAAGTACTTGGTTTGTACTGAACAGTTTAACCCTACATAAAATGTTAAAGCGGTGTACAACCTCAATCTATAGTATTCTCGCACTTTTTCCTTGGAGGAAGCAGGGAGGTACTATACTGGCTGTCTTATCAAATTGTCTGACCAACAGCCTCAGCTTAAATACTAAGAACCATGTCTTCTACCTCTGTATGCACAGAGCCAATACTAAGACCTTCTTCCAGCTCCTTTGATAGGCATAGGATTAACAATGGTTTCCCTTGTCTGCTCTCTGTTAGGAGTAGGACATTGGCAAGTGTCCTTGCTGGACAGATGAACTCCACCTTGCTAATGCCACTTATAGGTGAAAGCTCTCCCACAGAAAGGGGAGAGATCAAGGTTGTATAGCCTCTCATAGGAATTGACAGATTCCACATATGTTCCAGAAAAGGTATGGAAAAGTGGTGGAAGCTCCACATAAAATACAAAGCTCCATACAAAATAAAAATACTTCCTCACTTAAGGGGGGAGGCTGGTTTGGACAGAACTCAGCCTAGTTCAACAGGGGTAAAACTTAATATTTATTGAAGACTACTTGGGACAGTCACAGTGGACAGACACTACATAAGGCCTCACTCACCCTTAGTATGAGTCCATCGCTCTAGCGGAGCATGTAACAGATTGCTGTGTATCACTACCCATGAGCAATGGCGATGCCCTATTAAGGTGAGAACTGGATTGGTACAAAGCACTGGCTGCATACTGCAGTTGCCTATATCCTGCCCCCAGGGATTCGCTGTAACAAAACCTATACTCACTCTCACACATGAGTGTACATGGGAACAGGCTCTGGCTCCACATTCCAAGTCAGTTTTATATACAGTGGTAAGAGCACTTGAAATAAAGAGGCAGCAGCTGCTCTACATTCACCCAGAAGGCCAGCTGAAGAGACGGTTATCAAGGTATGGTTTGTGAGACACCTTATTCCACTGGAAGATCAGATGAGGTTTGAAAGCAAGGAAGATTTGAAATCAGGTGCCTTTGTGGGCTCGCTCTTCTACATATAGCTGCATCTGGAGGAGAGAAACAAGCATCAGTTCCATTTGATATGCAGGTAGGTGAATGCAAAAAGTCTGCAACAGGCTAAATAGGAAGAGTCTGTATGTTCCCCTATAACCAGGTTTCCTATCTTATTACGAGGAGTCTTGTCCCATTTTGATTACAGGCACAGGCATCTGCAAGACTAAGCTACTGCTCAGCAGTATTAAAATTGTTACCCTACAGAAAACTGCAGAGCTGGCATCAGAGTAGACAAAGCTTAGAACTACATGCAGTTTTCAGCCACTGCTTGGGCCAGAATGCTCTGCTCACCTTTAAGATATCAGATGTCATAGTTTTCAGGGGGATGAGCCGGGGATCATGCATGTGCACATCTTGTTCATCAGCAAGAATCCATGGGAAATCCTAGGGGCAGGAACACAAGGTGTTTTATTTGCAGAGAGGCTGGCAGACTCTGTAAGGTGAGTTCTCTTAGCACTAGGTCAGCATTAACTGAATGAGAGATGTAGTGGCTGAGGGAAGAAATGGGTAACTCAAACCTTTCATAACAGCAAAACTCAACACTTGCACACTTGGCCCTGAGACTCGGCATAATTACCTTCAGTTGCAGCATCAAACCATAATGTTAACCCACTTATTCCAAAGGTGACATCTCACTTACTTCCTTAAAAGATACACTTTTAACTGTCCTGAGCTAGCATGTTCTGTTCATTACACCAGCATTTAATTGCAACTCCAAAATGCTCAGGGCATGGATTTCTGTCCTGCTTTGCAAGCTGAAAGGTTGGCCTACTATACTACCAGTTTCCGTTATTAAGCAATACAGAGCAGACTTCCATTCTGAAACAATTTTATACTTCACTAGCTTTATTTATTGTGCCTTGTAACACCCAACATAACTTGGCTCGGGGGGGGGGGGGGGGGAAAGTTTCCCTGTACCTAAGCAAGGGTTCTTAAAACAAATTTTTTTTAAGTGATCTGCCACATACTTTCCTGCAAGACAAAATGTATTTGTGCACCCAAAATCCACTAGTTACTTCAATCTTGGTCTTCCTTGCTGTTTATAAAGAATCAGCCATCCACACATAGTGGATGCGGAATAAGGGCTTTGTTGTTGATTAAATTCAAGTACCTATTCTGTATATCAGAGTACTTTTAAGTGATTAAGCAGGCATTATGCAGTAAGTATTGTTACAATCTAATTCAGGCATTGAAGCAGCTATTGTCTGCAATTGTGGCTGGTGTGTGGCGAGTGTGCTCAGTCACCTAGCTAGTGTAAACCGTTTTAACACATTCAAACCAAAGTTGTGAAGTGCATCATATGAAGTTAACATATGTGTTCAAAATATCTAGCGGCCTTAACCTTAGAGATGCCAAAACTCTGTAATTTCCAGACTTTGCTCTGCAGCTTTCTCATAATCGGGTAGTGTATTTGGTTTGTGTGGCAAGGTTTTGGTAGCAGATGGGGGTTACAGGGGTGGCTTCTGTGAGAAGCTGCTGGAAGCTTCCCCTGTGTCCAACAGAGCCAATACCAGCCGGCTCGAAGATAGACCCACCACCAGCCAAGGCTGAGCCCATCAGTGATAGTGGTAGCGCCTCTGTGATGACATTTTTAAGAAGGAAAAAAAGTTGCAGGACAGACAAATGGCAGCTGGAGAGAGAGTGAGAACATGTGAGAGAAACAACCCTGCAGACACCCAGGTCAGTGAAGAAGGAGAAGGAGGAGGTGCTCCAGGCACCAGAGCAGAGATTCCCCTGCAGCCTATGGGGAAGACCATGGTGAGGCAGGCTGTCCTGTCCCCCTGCAGTCCATGGAGGTCCACGGTGGAGCAGATATCCACCCACAGCCCAGGGAGGACCCCACGCCGGAGCAGGTGGGTGCCCAAAGGAGGCTGTGACCCCGTGGGAAGCCCACGCTGGAGCAGGGTCCTGGCAGGACCTGCAGATCTGTGGAGAGAGGAGCCCACAGGGCAGGTTTTCTGGCAGGACTTGTGACCCCGTGGGAAGCCCACACTGGAGCAGCGTGCTCCTGAAGGACTGCAAGCCATGGAAGGGACCCACGCTGGAGCAGTTTGTGAAGAACTGCAGCCTGTGGGAAGGACCAACAGTGGAGAAGTTCGTGGAGGACTGTCTCCCATGGGAGGGACCCCACACTGGAGCAGGGAAAGAGCGCGATGAGTCCTGCCCCTGAGGAGGATGAAGTGGCAGAAATAACATGTGATGAACTGATTATAACCCCACTCCCCATCCCTCTGTGCTGGTGGGGGGAGGAGGTAGAGAATCTGAGAGTGAAGTTGTGCCCGGGAAGAAGGGAGGAGTGGAGGGGAAGGTGTTTTGAGATTTGCTTTTATTTCTCATTACCCTACTCTGGTTGATTGGTAATAAATTGAGTTAATTTTCCCCAAGTTGAGTCTGTTTTGCCCATAATGGTAATTGGTTGAGTGATCTCTCCCCATCCTCATCTCGACCTACGAGCCCTTTGCTATATTTTTCTCTCGCCTGTCCAGCTGAGGGGGGGGAGTGATAGAACAGCTTTGGTGGGCACCTGGTGTTCAGCCAGGGTCAACCCACCACAGGTAGCCAAAGATACCACTCACCTTTATCACCTGGATCTTTTCCATGTTCCGTGTGGCAGCCTCCCGTGTGTGAACCAGAACGGTGAAGGTACAACCTGCAAGAGAAATGGTAGGCTCTGGATCAGGGGACAACTAACAGAGGATCAGACACTACCTATTGGCTGAAGGCAAGCAATGCCATGCTGTGAGGCTGTATGGACACGTTTACCTGGGGGATTATTGTCAAGCACAGCATCACACACGCTGATCTTCAGGATGAAGGCACGCAGTAACTGCTCCACATGGGACAGCAGGGACTCTGAACTGTTGAGGAGACAGCAGTTGTTACTGGCATGCAGCAAAGTGCTGGGGCCTGGAGCTGCTTCCAGAACACTTCTGCAGAGGCAGGTGTTGGATGCCACGGGCAAGAAGTAATAGAAACTTTACCTAATGGAAAGAAGAGGTGGCTGGGTGATCTCAAAGACAAATCTCTCCACAGGGTGGTGCTCTTTATCCAGGATTACAACTACGACTTTCTCCACATCATTCTGCAAGAACAAAGATAGAAAAATCCCTGCCTTAGAACAAGCTGTCTTCTCCCCAACAGTGTGCATCACATACTTCTGGTAAAGTGGGAGTATGCTTATTTGTTGCGGCTCACAGCCATAGCACTTATCCAAAGCTTGAGCACTGTCAGATTATTCTTACCGATCAGAAAAAATGCTTTTGCAAAGCCATTTCTTGCTAGATGTTAAACCGATAGCTTATTGCTAAGGCCTAGGGAGATGAAGTGCACTAAATAGTACATTTCTCTAGATACTGTTTTGGAACAAAGGAGGAAAAATGTACAGCTGTCTCATGGCATCACTCAGGAATATACAATGATGAGGAAGTTAAGATATGCTTAGACTGTTGGCCAAATATAGCAGCTTTATATTACCGCGACGTAAAACTGACCTATTTCCATTCTCTAAAAGTGCATTAAGGTTGTCTGTAAAGAGCAGAAAATGCAAAATCTGCCTGCATCCTGAAACATTTCATATGGTCACACCTTTCTCTTACAAAATCTAGAGTTCAAAACTACCTTTGCTTGCTGGCTTACATCAAAGCTTTTAAACTATTCTGCCAGATAGGTGCTTAAACTGAAATGTAGTCAAAAGCAGAACATTAAGTTACCATGTAGGATGATATAACTGAAAATATATAGATGTATATCCTCATGTGCATGGATTTGGCATTTAGTTGCATCTATGATCAGCAGCAAGGCAGGGCCTTAACTGCAAGGAAAGGTTATGGATGTTATTTTTGTTAGGAACTTTATCAGCTAGTTTATTGTATATGGTAAAATTGTAAATAAATTTTGCAACTAAGACAGTATTTACTTTCTCTTCCTTTCTATCAAAACCACTTGCAGTATTTTTGCCAAGGTCCCCGATATGATCTTACCTTCTCGAGCAGTGGCTTTACACAGTGCAGTGTGTCCTGGATGTACTGATTCAGCTCTGGGTGGCAGGACATCTGTAGCAAATACAGTGAGTAGTCAGAGCTGTGTTCTGATGTGAACCAGTACAATGCTAAATGGGACGACTTAAACAGAAGCACAAGTGTGTTACAAGGCACTTGAGTCATGCTTCAAATAGCATTTTTTACCATTAAGTTGCCAATTCAAACCAGTATTTTTTTCATGGAAGGGTTAATTAGCTGAGGCAGATCACTGTACCCACACAGTTGTAGTATATTGGGAATATATACCCACAATAGCATATTGGGAATAGTATATTCCAACCGTCTCTACTTCCTAGGAAGCATGCTTTCATGTTACCTTACTGTACATAGCTGGGGAAGCCTTCTACTACTGTTGTCCATGATCTGCTTGTTCCATGAGTACTGCTGTATCCTCAGCTACAGGGCTGTTTTCCCTTTTGACAGGAACTAAGTTCTCAAAAATGAGTTTGCACGTTAAAACAAACTCTGGAAGTTATTTAGTTGTGGTGAGTGTTGACTGATCCCTGCTATTTTGCTTGTCCGTGTGGCTGTCAGCTTCCAGGAAAATCTCCTACCTGGACAGGTACATTGTATTTTTTCCTCTTCTGAAAGATCCCAATAGGGTAAACTTCTCTGACATATAAGATAAGGTGAACAGCCACTTCCAGAAATTCTGAAAGAACATCCGCAACAACTGAAAAACAAAAGTAAAGGATGCTGAAGTAGGGAGTGGGGGGGAGCATGCAGAGCAATACCATATACTCATAGGAATTTTTTTAAGGTATTTTTTCCTGCATAAATTTTACCTGCTTCCCCCTAGCTGCAGGAAGTTTAGGGATAGAGCAACCCTCCAACAACAATCCCACAAGCTCCACATGTGCCAACAAGAACCCTTGCAAGCATAGCAGTTTGCAGCTTAGCACAACACATTACCTTGCCCAAAGTTAAGGTCCTGCCGTGTGAGAGTGGTCATCTTTCCCAGAACCTGGAAGTAATCACAAAAAGAATGTTTATCCTCTGGCTCTTATATTATTAATACAGTCAGCTCATGGAGCCATCCACTTTCCTTGTGCTGATGAGCTCAGACCCAACAAACTGTCCTCTGCGCTTAGTCACAAGCATATGAACACTGCCATGACAAATCCACAGGGCCCACTGTGAAAGGTTTAAGCACCCTCCATAACCAACAAGAAGTCACCAGAAATCACCAGTAGTACAAAAACCAAAGACAGTATCATTGCCGTGTTCTGGCTCACACCGCAGATTGATCGATTACTCATAATTTAACTCTTGCTTTTTTTTTTGATTGGGCCTTATTTAAATAAAAAAAGTGAAAATCTGTCCAGTTCACAGTTCTTCACTGTCTCCCTCCCTTTTTGATACATTTTGCTAGGACTGGAGAATTCCTGATTCCTAAGACATGAGAAAGTTTAGACAATTGCTTTTTAGTAGCACAAGGAACGCTAGTTTTTTTAAAGCCACACAAGTGTTCTCGTAACATACTAGAACATACCCCTTTTCTAACCCCTACATCTTATTGTAACACAAGAACTACTCTGTTTTATGGGTTTATTTTCACACCACCACCATGAAACATTGCTTGTTCAGGCTAGGCTCTGCATCTTTCATTGGCTCTACACAACACAGGTACTCATCTGCTGTCCACTACCAACAGCTTCAGAGTCCCAAGGAAACCAAACCCTGCACAGCTGCATAATTAAGTTAACATGGAATTTGTCACACAGAATCATGGAATATCTCAAGTTGGAAGGGACCCATAAGGATCACGGAGTCCAACTCCCTGCTCCTCACAAGACTACCTAATCCATATGACTAAGAGCATCAGCCAGATGCTCCTTGAACTCTGACAGGCTCAGTGCCATGACTGCTTCCCTGGGGAGCCTGAAATTTGTGACAATTATAAAGGGCAGCACATTATTGTGCCAAATTGAATACCGTGTGCCAACAATCAAACAGCAGACACTGAGGTTCAACTTTCGAACAGCTTTCCTTATATAGTGGAGGCTGTGCCTTACATGTTTTAAGCTACAGTGTACATAATTTTCTATCACAAATTTTAATTTGTTTCATTATTTTATCCATACTCTTTGCATGCATGCAAACTTTAACCACTAATAGCAGCGCCACTGTTCATAAACTGTGTATGTCTTTAAACATCTCCAGGAGCACCTTAGCTCCATCAGTAACACAGCTGCCTTACATAGACCTCTGATAAGCCACAGTCATTCCAATCAGTTGTTTAGCCACTGATTTTCAAGCTGCTTCAGCTGCAACAAACCATGTTTTTCAGACCTACAAAGAATTACTTCAACCTTCACAAAATAGGTAGCTACTCTCCTCTTTCTTTTTAAATCAGAATCTTACCATTGTATACAAAGACTTCTGGAACATTAGTGATCTGCTACATTAAATAACATTAAGATACTTAAGCATTTCTCTAGCACCCCTGCCACAGTGACTCTCAAATTTGTACAAAAGATCTGTATCAAAGTAGCATTAAGAATCTGTGTTTTTAGAGGTTTAGGTTCGCATCCTCACCTAAACACCACCCTTTCTTAAACAGAGGCCCCAGAGAGGCAAGCGCATCCCCAGAGATCCACCCTTCAATGCAGTCATAAGGTTATGCCTAAGAATCACACGTTTAATACTCCCTCAGATTAAGGTTTTGGAGTAACTGACTGGAGCAATGCTGCAGTTACTAGCCTTTCCTCTATTCATTTGAATTTGCTGTCCTGCATCTAGGAGGTCAGTTTCCAGAAAAAGTCATTCCATCTTCCCAGCATAACAGACAGCACTGAGGGAAAGCCTGCACTTCCTTCATGGTGCTTTCTGGATGCTAGCAATCCCTTACTGAAGGAATTTCAGAAGAAAAAAGGAAGCAAAGGAGGCAGGGATGTCATGCGGTTTGTAATCCGTCATCTCCAAGGTGCCCACGTCGATTATGCGGGCTCCCGCGCTAGCCCAGAATAAGGAGCACAGGCCTCCCGCATCAGCTTGCGCTGCGCCCTGCCCGCTTCACGGCTTCAGAGGAGAGAAAGGAGAATCTCCAGATGCTCCTCCACCGTTTCACACGCTGGTTTCTCTAACGCCCGGACAGACGGAAGGACAGACCGCGGCTTTCGGGACAGGGCTGGGTACCCCGGGGTGCCCGGCTCCCACCGCTCCTCGGCAGACAAGCACTGCCCTTACTTCGCTCTTCCTGCCCGCATTCTGAGCCCGTGCTGCCAGCCGCTCACCCCTGCTCCCTTCCGAAACAGGGCTCCCGACCCCGCAGAGCCCCC